GCTATCAGAAGGGAGGGGAGTACTCAAGAAAGGCAGAATTACTCAAGGACTTCTTCAAGTAAGGTATTAAATTAATCCTTAATAAGGATTAAATTAACCCACCCAGGAAGGAGATGCCTGAGGCTATAGTCTTTTATCTAGTTGAGACTGGATCCAGTTGTCCTTGGCTGTGATCTTGTCTTATCCATTCAGGCTTTCAGGCTTCATCTGCCATTACAGGTTTTAGTAGGGATTAGTGACTCACAGAGGTTCACTTACTATGGGTCCACGGCCCACTTCCAGGCAAGCGCCTACTCTTTGGACAGATTCACAAGTAAACATAAAAAGCCAACTGGTTAATTTAAGTCCTGCTCAGGGCTGCTTTGTAGTGGTCTCCATCAGTGTGTGTTGTTCCCTGCTGCAATGGGCATGACCCAGGAAACCCGTGAAGCCAGGCACATAAGAAAGCCTGGACTACCAGATCCATTTAAACTGTTGTAACAAATGTGCCACTGTAGTCATGAGCACAGATGGGGACCTGCCTTTCTTCAAAGCCCTACTTTCATGACTGAGAATAAAGAGCTCAGTGAGATCCCAACACAGGCACTCTCTTCAGTCTTCCCAAGAGCTAAGCTGTTCAGGGTTCACCCTGAACTGACAATGAGGAAACACCAGGCAAACACAAATAGGGCCATTTTATGGTACTGGCATGTGTTCTTAACAACGTAGAATCATTAGACATGGTGGTGCACATCTGTAGTCCCGGCACTTCAGGAGTCTGAGGCAGGAAGATCCTAAGCGGGAGCTGGGGAACTTAGTGAAAGTCTCAAAAAAAAAAAAAAAAAAAAAGGCCCCAAAATATAGTATCATAAAAGATAAAAGGAGCCCAATAAACTGTTTCTGGTTAGAGAAGTCTGCAGAGTAGCATGTGGTGGTAAATGTTTAACAGCTTCACAGGGAGAAAGTCCTGATGTGTAGCACCTGCCAATCCCCATCATAAAAGCTCCCTTTATAGCCTATTTCCAGCTGCCCATGTAATTTCATGGGATGCAGAGTTGGGAAGAAATAAGCAGCAGACACCACCACATAATACTGCCGCCACCACCACAATACTGCTGGGTTATGCCACTGGCATAATCTGGAGACCACAGATAATAGCAAAATAGCTGGGAAATGCTGTATTTATCATCTTTGCTTAAAATATAAGCAATTGTAAGTTTACAACTAAATGCAGTGTGGGGTTGTGGACTGGATTTGGATTTGGGGGAAATGTTATAAAGGACATTATGGATGAGCTGTGTGTAAGATAAGATTAAACTTTATGAGTGGGATTCTCAGGCTATGTTTATGTAAGTAAATGTCTTTGCTCTTAGGAGATGCATTCTAAAGTATGTGCAGGTTGTGCTAGTCTCCTAGGACTGCCAAAACAAAGAATCACGAACTGGGTGGCTGAATACAACACAAATCTATTCTCATGATTCTGGAGGCCAGAAGTCTAAAGTGAAGGCATCTGAAATGTGCCTGTGGGCTCAGGGAGAGACCTGCACAGCGCCTCTTCAGCTCCTGGTGGCGAGTGGTGATCCTGTGTTTCTTGGCTTGTAGATCTACCAACTCAGTCTCTGCCTCCATCACACGGTTATCTCCCTGTGCATCAGAATTCCCTCTGCCTTACAAGGACACCAGTCATTGGATTAGGGCCCACCCTAATCCAATATATATGACCTCATCTTAACATGATGACATCTACAAAGACCCTATTTCCAACTAAGGTCATACACATGCATTCTGGGGGTGTGAGCTTTTACAGTGGCGGGGGAGGGGGGAGTCACTGTTCAACCCAGCATACAGGTTAAGGAGTGCATCTGTAATGTTCTTAAACAGTTTGGTGATGTCTTCTCCAATCACAATGGAATGAAGCCAGAAATTAGTAACAGAAAGGTAACAGGGAGGTCTCCAAATACTCGGAAATGAAATAACTTGTGTTTCTAAATAATCCATACATCAAAAAGGAAGTCTCATGGAAAACAGAACCAAATGATTGAAAATATAACATAAGATAGAATTTTCAACATAGCTAAAGCAATGTTGTGAAGGAATTTATAACATTACATACATTAAAAAAATACGTCTCAAATTAATGTAATTTCCCATCTCTAGAATGCAGGACAGTGAGTGCACCTCAGTGGCAGAGCACGTGCTTACACGTGATGCTGTGGGTTCAAGCCCTAGACACATACACACACACTAGAAAAAGAAGACATAAACCCAAAGGAAGTGGAGGGGAGAAAATAATAAAAAAAAAAAATCAATGAAGAAAGAAGTTTCTGAATAGGGTCTCAAAACGGGTCGATGTAGTTTAGGCTGTAGCCCAGGCTGGCCTGGAACTCACAGTAATCCTCTTGCCTCAGCCTCCCATGTGTGGGGATTACAAGCGTGCCTGGTTAAGTCAATGAAATTGAAAACAGAAGAAGGAACAATAGAAGAATTAATGAAACAAAGCTTCTTTGAAAAGACAAACAAAAGAGTAAGACATAACCATCAGGAATGAAGAATAAAACTTTAGGAGTTAAATGAAGCATCACTATAAATCCTGCAGACAGCATACAGAAAACCATGAACAGTTCCATGTTTGACCACATAGACAAATGGAAAAACTCTTCAGAAAAAAAAAAAAAATCTGATCATTCAATGTGAAATAATTTGAAGGGGAGGAAGAAGGAGGAAAGGGACTTACACAAAAAAAGAAGACATGTATATATACCAACTCCCCATGAGGAATAAGATCGTTACGTACTACAAATGTGTACTAATGAAAAAGTGAAGAGCAATGGTACTTACCTCTCAAAACAGCTATTAGTATTACATCAGAATATGTAAAAACAAGCACACAATAAAGTCTTTAGAAAAATGAATTTCAGTATCTCTTCACATGTCAATAGTGGGCTCATAATTTAACACATCACTGCTGGCTTGAACCACCTATGGCACATACATGACTGTCCATTGGAGGGCTTTTTATTAATAAAAAGACCAATAAAAGCGATTAGATTCATTTGTACCACCGGTGGTGGTTCAAGTCACCTGGCAGTGAGACATACAAATTACAGCATTTGTATGTCTATTATGAATGTGTTAAAACTGTCCTTGGGGCTGGGGATTTAGCTCAGTGGCACAGTGCCTGCCTGGCAAACGCAAGGTTGTGAGTTTGATTCCTGGTACTGGAAGAAAAACAAAAAAACAAAAATAAAACAAAACTGTCCTTCCTTTTGCCCTCAATCTCAGGCCCAGGTGGGATCACTGGAGAATGCTACCAGACATGTAACACTGATTTTACACAACTGTTCCCAGACAATAGTAGAGGAGGGAACTCTTCCCAATTGTTTTCATGACGCCCAGATTAATTTGATACTCAAACCAGAACTAAACATGGTAACTGCAGAACAGTATCACTCATAAAGACAGATATAAAAATCCTTGCAATAGCAGGAGCCAGTCTGAGACCAGCCCCAAGCAACTTACTGAGACCGTCTCAAAATTAAAAGGGGGAGGCTGGAGAGCTCAGTGCAAAGGCCTTGGGTTCAATCCCTAGTACCACAGAAACAGACAAAAACCAATCTGCAGCTAACATACACAGCTGGCAAAAAAAGAAATGCTTTCTTGTGAGGATCAGAAACAAAACAATGACCGGATGTGGTGGGGCATGCCTGTAATCCCAGCACTTGGGAGCCTGAGGCAGAAGGATCACTATGAATTTGGAGGCCACCCTGAACTGCATAGAAAGACCCTGTCTCAAAAAAAAAATCTGGGCATGGTGGTGCACACCTGTAATCCCAACACTCAGGAGGCTGAGGCAGGAGGATCACTGCGAGTTCGAGACCAGGCTGGGCTACAAAGTGAGCTCAAGGCCAGCCTGAACTTCATTGCAAGACCCTGTCTCAAAAGACAAAAAAAGAGAAACAATGCTCAGTATCACTGTATGCTGAGAAAACTTACAATGCAACTGCACACATGTCCATTAAAAAGTCTAAACCCAAGTAGCACTGAGAATGTGGAGCAAGCAGAGTACTGATACATCAAGATGGTATAACCCCACTGGAAAGCCGTTTGGCAGTTCATTCCCCCCAGAACTGGGGAGTCGTTTGAAGTAGGCATTCTACCACTGAGCTATTTCTCAGCCCTTTCAAAAGTTTGAGACCGGGTCTCAGTAAGTTGCCCAGCCTGTTCATGAATTTGTGATCTTCCTTTTAATAAACATGTTGTCTGTTCCAGAATTGCACTTGTTCATGAGAAATGGAAACATGTATGTTTGTACACACACATCCATGGTAGTTTTACTCATCAACTGAAAACTACACGCCCCACTCAGCAATAGTTACATAGTTCCACTGCTTTTGCACATAGTATTTATTTCAGCCAGGTGTGGTGGTGCACACCTGTAATCCCAGCACTTGCGAGGCTGAGGCAGCAGGATAGCTGTGAGTTTGAGGCTAGTGTGGGTTACATAAAGGAGATCAAGGTCAGTCTGCATGACCCTGCCTTAAAAAAACAAAAAACAAAAAACATCTATTTCCCTGAGTACATTCCTTCTAACCCTCCCCTGGGGTCTCTGTTCTAGGGCCTTCTCCCTGCCAGTCTCAGGACTGTGGATCCAAGTTCCATTCACTCCTGGCTCTATGGATCACAGATTCTAGCCAAACTGGTAATTCCTGTAACAAGTGACTGGTGTACAAACAGCTTCCTGGAGTCTGGATGGACGGTTAAAATACCAAGACCACAAAGGCAACTGGCCAAAGGCCAGGCACCCTGAGCTCTGGATCTCGTGAGTAAAGACAGAACAGAAAAGGTGACTCAGGTTGGGCCATCATCAGTGGGAGAGCCCTCTATGTGCGTAGAAGGCAAAGGAGAAACTAATGATTATTGGGAGATTTTTTACTGCGTGTCGTTTTATCTGACAAGTGCTCTGAAAACTTTTAAGTGATCTGAAGGCTAAAAACCGAAGAAAAGATATTGCAACAAGAACGTTACTGATAACACCTTTTTAATAGGTCAAAGTAACTGTACAGTTCATTATATTCTTCCTGAGAATAATTTATATCCCCCAACAAACTAAAGGGAGGGTGTATTTTTCAAAATTATCTAACAGAATGGATGGACATCTAGAGAACCAAATCCCTCTGTTCCTCTTAATTCTCTCCTGGGAAGACAGACACAATGAAGGGTTAGTTAGCTCCAGTGGCTGTAAAATAGTCAACATGGCTTTAATCTTTCTTTATAAATTATATAAAAATGGAAAACAGGGATGGTTCTGCTCAATGCAGTCTGGAGGTGATCTGGTACAAAGCATTTCTGCTTCCAAGAGAAATTACATTGCTACAAAAAACTGGCACATTATTCTGGTGAAAAAGACAAGAGTTTTAGTTGTGTCCTACAGCTAGTTCCCAACCCAGTATTTCGATATCCACGAGAAAGTAAAGGTCAGGAGAGACAGAAAGGGTGATAGTTTTTTTTCTGAAACAACTTGAGTCTTCAAAATATAGCTTTATATTCTTTCTTTGTAAATGGGATTAGCATATTGCAATGGAAGGGTGTTCTAACAAACAAAAGCCCCAGTCTGGGTAACTCTATGGCAGGAAAACAATTCTCTGCCTCTTCAGTTTCCTGGGATTCTTCACACATGCTCTCTTCTTCCAATATGCAGCGAAGGTAGGTCAGGAATTAGCACGGCCCCAGGCCATTTCCATTAAAACACACCCCAGTGCTAACACCAACTGTTCTTCATGATAAGCTTCTTTTAAAAAAAGTTTATTTTTCTTTCCATTTTGAGACAGTCTCTGAGCAGGCTGGACTTCAACTTTCAATTCCTCTACCTCAGCCTTCTCAGTAGCTGGGACTACGGATGCACCATCATGCCTGGTCTTTTAAAAGCTTAACTTAATGGACAATTTTCATTCTTAGAAAAATGTCATTTTGGATCCTGGACTTTTCTGAACATCATGATTTTAAGAGAACGAAAATGAACCCAAATCAAAACTTGTATGAGAGAGATTTTCAACCAGCTGTCATTCAGTTGGAGCTGTAGTGCTGGCGACCGAGGACACGGGTTAATTCCTCACTGCTGGTGGAAGGCTAGAGAACATTTCCAATGGGTACAAAGACACGCTCCTTGGGCTGCTCAGTGTGGTCTTGTCTGCCCAAGCATTTTTAGTCTTGCTTGGTCAATGACATCAAGCAGGTTTTTGGCATCCACAGCCAGGGCATGAGCAGCGGTCAGCATCTGCTTCTTGTACTCCTGCTGCAGGCTGGTCATGACGTACTGCTGGGCCAACTTCATCTTGTTGATGAGCTCTCCCAAGTCAGAATTCAGCAGCTTCTGTGCCATCTCAATCTGAAAGGACAAGAGACAGGTCAGGAGACCTGCTTACCAGAACTTGCCAGATTTTTATGAGCTTTTTTTTTTTGGTGCCTCCATGAGAAGAAACTTACTTTCTTCCTCTCAAATAAATCTGTAGAAGAAACACAGTGTAAGCTCAATCTTTCCTCTAGAAATTCAGCCAGAAGTGTGCCTGCACACTTGCGCGTGCGCATGTGTGTGCCCAGCAGTCTCTCCTCTTTCCATTCCCCGCCCTCATTTTCAACACCATGACTGACTCCCTATTCTGTTTGCTGTTTGTACTTTGAACTTGATGCCTGGCAGGGCTTCTCTTCATTTCCTAATAGAATCATGGAACCCCAGAGATCACTATGCCAAATGCTCTCACATTATGTGGACAGATGAGACTGAGAGTGACCTGCTGAAGGTTATATAGCTGGCCCACATCCAACCCAGCACAAAAACTGGGTCTGGACTCATAGTCTTGTGCTTCTTCTACTTGCCAATTCTCTTTTGAGACCTTCCATAGCTGTACTAGAAGCGGTTTGCCAATGTTATGAGACACCCTTGCCCTGTCTTGATATGAGCTGCCCTGTCAGAATGCTTTGCTTGGCAGTGTCACAAACCTGGCTACCTGTTTATTTAACAAATGGTAACTCAGCCACTTGCCTTTACGATTCCTGAGTGTTTTGAATTAGACATGCGGAGTGCAGGGTGGCCGAAGCATGCACAGAAACACCTGTAACACACTGGGATATGTCACTCAAAAGAGATGCACTCAGAGAAGAGGGCAACTAAGCCTGTCTGAGAAAGTCTTCACAGAGTTTGAATTTGATCTAGACTGCACAAATTAACTGGCTTTGCCTTTATTTTATTTTTATTTTTTGTCTTTTTATGACAGGGTCTCACTATGCAGTTCAGGCTGGCCTTGAGCTCACTTTGTAGCCCAGGCTGGTCTCAAACTCGCAAAGATCCTCCTGCCTCAGCCTCCTGAGTGCTGGGATTACAGGCGTGCGCCACCACGTCCGGCTGGCTTTGCCTTTAAAGGGTGTTATAAGCCATGTCAAGTTCTCCTTTATTCTAATGATCTTAAGAGAGGGAGGCCATAATATATTTTTAGGAAAGGGGATGATACACTCCAGACAGCTGTTCTAGAAGCAGCCCCTGGTGGCAGGGTGGACACTGAACAGAAGGCTGCAGAGACAAGAGGCTGCTGTGGCAGTTCACAAAAGAAACATCTGTGCAGCGAGGACGAGAGAACCTCCTGGGACTGTACTGAACGCTGTCGTGTCCGTGTGTGTGGGTGGGTGGGGTAAGGGACTGATGGGGACACAGGTGGCGAGGGCATGGTGATGCCACTGACTAGGGAAGCAAACTAGTAAAAGGAGACTTCTCCAGCCAACACTCAGCAGACCGCTGGTAATCAGAGCTCAGGGAGCAATAGTACTACACGCAGATTTAGGAGGAATCAAGTATGTGCATCTATGAAAGTGGGGAACCTGCCAAGGTGAAAGGTGTTCATTAAGAAAATAAGGAGCTGGGCATGGTGGCACATGCCTGTAATCCCAGCTACCTGGGAGGAGGAGACAATTTAAGTCCAGCCAGTCTCAATTTAAAATACAATAAAAAAGGTTTTGGGATATAGTTAGCTCAGTGGGAGGCTCTGGGCTCAAGCTCGAGTATAGCACAAACACAGAACCAAATGAACACAAGTGGGCAGCATCACCTTAGGGATGACAAAAGTAACAGGTAGCAGATAGAGAGCCAGGGGAGAGGCCTGAGCAGGACTGGTACTCAGGGAGAAGACGGCAGGGACTCTGCCACCAGGAAGTCCCCAGAACCCTCCAGGGCAGTCACTGCAGAGGGCAGGGCTGAATGGGGCTGCTCCTTCCGGAGAGATGGAAAACAGGGGCAGTGGAAGGGGTAAGCAGGATCACAGAAAGGCTCCTCTTAAGAAAAAAATTAAAAAATAATATACATGGGAGAGAAATCTGTATGCACAAGAATCAGTAAGGATGGACAGATTTTGGCCTTATCAGCTAGAGTACGTAGGTGGTAATAAGCTAAAGCACTTACTTGTTAAGGCACCATTCATTCTTCCCGCCCCTCTTTTTTTTGGTTTTTTGAGACAGGATCTTGCTGTGTAGTTCAGGGTGACCTTAAACTCACTATGTAGCCCAAGTTGGCCTCAAACTTGAAGCAATCCTCCTGTCTCAGCCTCTTGAGTGCTGGGATTATAGATGTGTGCCACCAGGCTTGGCCTCCTTTCCTTTCTACATGTTTACAGTACATGCAATTTGAAATCATCTTGAGGAGTGGGTGCATGTACATAATACAGCTTTTTTTTTTAATCTGTCTCCCCTTCCTCCCTCCTCTAATTCCACTTTTCCCATTTTTATTCTTGTTGGTGTTATTAATCTTAGGACACCATTTTTTTTTTTAAACCTATACATATGGACCTTCCTACCCTTTGGCAAAACTGTTGCTTGTTATAGAAAATCAATCAGAGCTCCAATGAAGCAAATAAAGTAGCTAATCCCCACTGGTTACAGATTTAAAGTTACACTGTAACATCCAATCAGGCATTTTCCAAAGGATATAAGTGGTTCTCTCCACTTACAGAGGAATCACCAGTGGCAGCTATGTCCCACTGTCCTCCAGGAGGCAATACCTATTCCTCAAAATGAGCACCACTCAATCACCACGTTCCTCCAGTACCAAGTCCTGAGGACTAAATACTGTTTCAATAGAGCTGCTGGTTAGAGGTACAACACCTCTATTTAGTTAGGATAAAATGTCTTATTTTTTTTCCCCTGGTGTTGGGGAGGAAATGTCCATTTTTATAGAATATTTTTCCACCGAACTTCAAGATACTCTACAGAATAACTGAGCAGGCAAGTGTGGTGGTGCACACCCATAATCCCTGCACTTTGAGAGGATGAGGCAGCAGGATCACCAAATTGGAGCCCTGCCTAAATAATTTAGTGAGACCCTGTCTCAAAATAAAAAATAAGAAAGGGCTAGGGATGTTGTTACTTGGTGCAAAAAGCCTTGAGTTAAACCCTAAGCATTAAAAACAACAATAACAAAGACAAAAACAATTACAACAAAAACAATCCCCTCCCATGCCGGGCATGGTGGTGCACGCCTGTAATCCCAGCACTCAGGAGGCTGAGGCAGGAGGATCGTTGTGAATTTGAGACCAGCCTGGGCTACAGAGTGAGCTCAAGGCCAGCCTGAACTGCACAGTGAGACCCTGTCTCAAAAAAAAAAAAAAAAAAAAAAAATCCCCTCCCCATACTTTGGCCTGTAGTCAATAAAAATGTCAATGTCATGGAGGACCTGTTCCAAAGATGGTGAGTACAATGAAAGTCACATGTGGCCCTGGGCTGACTCCTGCACTTCAGGGAAAGCACTATGGGATAGGCAGTGCAGCTAGAGTGCAACCTGCAGGGATGAAGGTGCCCTACAGCCACAGAAAGGCCACAATGAGGCCGCTGCATGGTGGGTCCAGAAGACAGCAGCCTGGTTACCAGGGCACATCCACTGATGTGCTCTTGGATCAGAGGACACAGGCCCACCATCTATTCCTAAAGGCTCAGAAACAGCACATCACATGTGTGCAGATTTGTAGACAGATGACGGGGAAAGAGTCAAAATTAGAGAGGGTGGTGACATTGGCGAAAGGGTATTTGGGGAATCTATATTAGTCTTGTAATATTTCCGTAAGCTCAAAGTCATTTCAAAATAGGAAGTGAAAAACAGACAAAACCCCAGTGCACTGCAGGACTGTACATGCCACTCTAGAGAGAACCACAGAAGAACCACAGACAGCATCACTGCCATCCGTGTCCCTGCGTGACCTCACCCCGTACTGTGCCTACCTCTCGGTGCGTGCTGGCTGGGAGGACAGGAATGGTCTCATCCACGGTGGCCAATAACGTCCGCAGGGCCAAACCAACTTCCTAACAAGAATTACAGCCAGTATTAGAACACATACTAAGCAGTTTCATGCCAACTCCAACCGTTTCTCCGTTCAGATATATATGTGTGTGTATCTATATCTGAATCTATAGATATCTATATCCATATCAGAGTCTATCTGCCTATCTATCCATTTATCTATACATATATCTGAATTTATGTATCTGTATTTTGGGAGGTGGGGGTGGGAAAGATTAAGGATTGAACCTTGCGCGTTTTCAATGAGCTAAGGTCCCAGTCCCACTTCTTGCATCTTTGTTTCTTGAGACAAGGTCTTGCTCTGTAGTTCAGGCTGGTCTTGAACTCCCTATGTAGCCCACGCTGTACTTCAACTTTGTGTCAACCCTCCTGTTTCAGCCTCCCAAATACTGGGATTACAGGTGTGCATCACCAGGCCTAGCTTTTACTTTCTCTCTTAAGGAAAACTTTTGTATTTTTTTCTCAATGCTGATCCCATCTTGTACATCACAAGGCTCTTTGCCCCACGAAGATTCAGATCTCTGACTCTCCTTGGCTCTACAAACTATGAAACAGGCTCAAGAATAGAAGTCCTCTGTACTACTAATTTCTATTGGTTTAATGAAAGGAATAGTTAATGCTTAATTGTTTGATCAATCTTGTATGCCCCTATCTGGTAATCTGAGCAACTACTTTGAAGATAACAATATGTAATGTAACAACCCTTGTTAATTTCCTATCACCTTGTTCTGAAATTCTGTACCTTTTTTTCCTGTGTGTCTTTTTGAGACAGGGTCTGGCTATGCAGTTCAGGCTGGCCTTGAGCTCACTTTGTAGCCTAGGCTGGTCTTGAACTTGCAACGATCCTCCTGCCTCAGCCTCCCAAGTGCTGGAATTACAGGCATGTGCCACCACACTTGGCTTGTATCGTATTTTGTTTTGTTTTTCTCTTTGAAAAAAAAAAAGGAAAAGAATAGGAGTTCTCCTAAGATGTGTCTCACAGAAAGAGCTAGAAAGCAGGCCCTTCCATTTTCTTCTCATCTAGAGCTTCCAGGCAGACCACAGTGCCCTCTTGGGTCCAACAAATCAACCTTTTTACACAGATTAGGACAAATGACAGCACCTTTCCTCACAAATGTACATAGATCTCTTCTTGAGGTTGGTCACAAAGGTGTTCCTGCTGTCCAGAGGCAAGGTGGGTTTTGGTCTGGAGTCTGTTTCAAATCTTACATCCACCCAAAACCATGTTGCATTGTAGAGAAAGGGTCCAACTATGATTGGAATATCAGAATTTTAAATTTCAAATTTTTATTTCTGTCTAAGACCAAACACGTAATGACTAAGATGCCAAATTATACATGTAGTATGAAAAAAACCAGTAAGAAGCTAGGCAGTGGTGCACACTTGTGAGTCCATCTACTCAGGAGACTGAAGCAGAAGAATCTCAAGTTTGAGGGCAATGTGGGCTACTCAGCAAGACTCTAGCTCAAAATAAAGTTTAAAAAGGGCTGGAGACATAGCTCAGTTTGGAGAAAATTTGCCTAGCCATGAGTGAGGCCCTGACTTCAATCTGTAGTAGTGGGGGGAAAAAAGTATATTCAAGTTTCTCTCAGAAAAACTCATTTAGAGCAAAGTTTGACAGCACTGTGAACTGCAGGACACGTCTAAGCACCTGAATACCCACGTGTGGGTTAGGGGAGAGCACTGCCAACCTCTCCGTGAACCCTGTTCAGACAGCATCTGTTACTATCTGTCAGGGTCTCACTCCACTGAACACAGTTTGGAAAAATGCTACTCTATTGGCCTGATATTTTTATGTCTGATTTCTTTTTTAATTTAACGAGTAGCTACTTACCCCTCAGCGTAAGGGAAACAACACAGCCCATTACGCTTTTCTGCCTCTCCTGCAGAGGGACAGTACCTGAACTAGTTAGTTACTAATCCCACACAGGATTATACTGAATGTTCAACTGCATGTCAATGGCTCATACTGTGCACATTCTCCAGTATCTTACCTTTTCACTCAAGACTACATTTATGAGCAACAATTATTAAATAGCTGGGTACAAAAATGCAAACCTGTAATCTCAGCTATTTAGGAGGCTGAAGCAGTAGAACAGCAAGTTCAAGGCCAGCCTGGGTAACTTAGTGAGATCCTGTCTCAAAATAAAAAAACAACAGGCTGGAATGTAGCTCAGTGGTGGAGAGCTTGCCGAGCATGCACCAGGCCTTAGATTCAATACCCAGACCTACCCTCCGTTCCTCAAAAAAGAATGTTCACTTCAGGACATTCCCATACTATTGTTACCAACAAGAGAAACTAAAAGTGGAACAGCAATTTATAATGATCATGGCTCCTGGTGACATCACCACATGGTACTTTCGTATCTTCTGAAGTATCAAGTCTGACTCGGGACAACTACAGATAGTGATCAGCTTCTGTGGAAAACAGGAAGCTCGCTGTTGGAATACTGTTATGACTGTACTTTACCTTCACCATAGGAACGTACTCCTCTGGTGGAGCTGGCTGGATTTTACTGGACATCTCGATGACAGCTTTCACCAGGCCTGTCACGTTCTCATACACCTTGTCATTGGATCGGTCCAAGTTGGCAGTAGGAGGGGGGCTGATTTCCTGGGGCTGAAGCTGACAATACAGAAGCTGGTAATTTTTCCACTCTCCAGTAGATGGCATGATAGCACCACAATTAAGTTAGTGGGTCTTTAAAAGAGATCAAAGTAGTTCACAAAAAAGGGTAACTGGTTTTCTTGTTTTTATGGGATATAGTTCAGTTTGAAGATGATAGCAACTAATCCAAGTGACATAAATAAACCAATATTTTTTCTAACTTTGAGCTCAGTTAAAGGAAATGAGATGAAATCATATATAGCACACTAAAATGCCCAGATTCTTTCAGAAGTGATTCAGGGTCCCCAGAACCCAGAATTAACTACAAGAGCAACAAGCCATACATTTTATTCTGAAGAGTCATCGAATTTTAGAGAAAGTCACTTACTTGCTAAATTTCAAACATTCTACTTTTTTTTTTTTTTTTGGTTTTTCCCCGGTACCGGGAACCGAACTCACGACCTTGCGCTTGCCAGTCAGGCGCTTTTGCCGCTGAGCTAAATCCCCAGCCCCTTCAAACATTCTACTTTAACACTCAGCATTTCCACTAATTAATTCAAGCTCTGGAATAAAAATCTTATGTGGCTCAGTTCAAATGCCTTCAAACCTTGATGGAAATGCACTCTTCACGATGATAAAAAAGCTGACACATACAAGCCTAATTTAAGTAGACACCATCTGCTTTGCAGACCACTACTTTAGTCCAAGTAGTGGGGCTGGGGCGGGGCTTCCTGCCAGCTCAATGCTGACTTCTGCATGAGCCTGGGTCTGAGATTATTAGAGCTGTCTTCCTGGGCAACAGTGATAAGGGCAGGTGAAGCTCCAGGTCTTGGGGACAGATGAGAGACACCCACAAATGTTACTTTAGAGAAGCACTAAACGCAAAATGATACGGACCTCCAGGAAGTTGTCGAATTGGTTAGAAGTGTAGTAGTTACAAAAATGACTCTGTGCACGCATGCACACATGTGTATTTTAAAGACCATATGGCACATAACAACTGTTCAATCAACTGCTGCTGGAGCTTGAGCTAACTGCCCATTTGGGAACTCCTGGGTGCCTTGACCCAAGAAACTAGAACAGACTAATTCTGTGCTTGGCTGTTCCAAAGTTTGAGAATGAGATAGAAAAGGGCAAAAATAACTCATTTACTGCAAAGATGTTCATGTCTCGGTTTCTGGCAAATATAAACGCTGCTTTTGGCACCTGCCAGTCACGAGAGGCCGAGTGTGCTTCCACTTGGTATTCTACTTGCTAGTTCAGAGTCACATGCAGAGAGCAGGGTGTGACACAGCGAGCTGGACAGACACACAAACATGATGTGCTTACCCTCCACGGCTATTGTCGAGCGGAAGGTGAGGAAAAGTTAAAGGAATTTATCAGAGAAAAGGAAAAAAGAAAAACAATATTAATAAGGCAGCAGATAACCCCCCACAAAACACATGAGCAGAACACAAAGGCGCTGGCTGCAAGGTCGCCCTCTGCTCAGCTTGCGGGCTGTCAGGAGCAATGCTGCGTCTGCTGTGTCCTCAAGGTATAGAGAGTTACCCAAAGCCCTGCCATGCACCACACTTGTTCCTAGGAGATACCAGAGCAGGACAGCATGCAAAGCCTGGAAGTGACAATTGGCAGCCGTGCAAGAACTGACAGAATAATACCCTTTGTAAGAGAGGAGGAAGGCAGGTTTGATCTCACTTCTGAGGGATTTCGGAGAAATTGTTCAACCTTTTTCCCATGCCCAGCCCTCCTTCAAAATCTGCATCAACTACATTGCCCTAAAATTCCTGGCATGGGGCTGTATCAAGACCTCAGGAAATTATTTATTTACTGACAAAGTACAACAAAAACCTTTCTTGGGAACCGTTCTTATGGGAATGTTCTACTACTTTAAACTGAGCAGGTTTAGTAGCCATATTTTTTCTCCAGAACTCAACGTTGGCTGTGATCCTGTGACTGAACAGGCAAAGGAACAGGAAACACAAGTATCTTCTCCTGTTCTTGTAACTGCTCACCACCCTGGCAAAAACAAACAAACAAACAAAACTCCATAGCCTTGGCATGAAAATCCCACAGCATCTTTTGCTTTACTTTTGAGACAAGAGACTTGCTGAATTGCCCAAGCTGGCCCGAAAGTTGCAATCCTCCTGCCTCAGCCTCGAGTGGCTGGGATTACAGTGTGCCACCTGTAATGTTTGAGGTGTGTTTTCCCATGCACTACAGAGAGCAAAGGATTTATAGTTGTGTCACTCCAAACACAGGACTTGCTATATTTTATTTTCTGCACTAAGAATCATGGTGCAGTTTTCTGTTTGTCTTTACAGGATGTCCTTGTTCAAATTCCAGCAACACAGAAAGGTGGGTGGCTTCCAGAGGAAGGTGCCAAGGGAGAGTTCCACCAAGATAAGAGACGTGATAAAAAACTATTGTTAATGTCTAAATTAAAAAATAATTACAATAAAAGGCATACTGCCATTAATCTCCTCCAAAGTACTCCTCCTTGCTTTGAACACACTTATTCCATTATTCTTGCCTCTTTCTGAAGCAGTTCTGGAAGTCCTCTTTCGAGTGTCTTTAGTTGAGCTGTCATGGCTGCTCTGGCATCCTGTTTGTTTTTTTTTTGTACCAGGAATTGAACTCAGGACCTTGCGCTTGCCAGGCAGGCGCTCATGCCACTGAGCTATATCCCTGGCCTTCCTCTGGCATCCTGAATCAAAACATTTACTCATGGTAGACAGAAGAGGCAGAAGTTGCAAGGTGCCAGATCTGATAAATAAGGTGGACAGACACGCTGTAATGTTTTTACAAGACTTCAGTTCCTCTGGATGGCACTCAGCAGCAAGAGTCACCATATTTTTGATCATATCTCATAAAGACGCTCATGAGAGAGACTCCCAGAACTGCTTCACTAAATAGCAAGAACGATGGAATAAGGGTGTTCAAAGTTAAGAGGAAATATTTTGAGGGGATTAATGGCAATGTGTCTTTTACCACAATATTTAAAATTTAATCATTTACTGTATATTTTCATCTTCACTTGTATACAATAAACCTGCAATTCCAGGAGGTGGAAGGAGGTTTATTTTAACCCACTTCAAGCTTCTACTCTTTTGTTCATTCTTAGCCCAACTTTTGTCACAGAAGGGCACTGTCTTGTTTTGTTTTGTTTTTTGTCTTTTTGAGACAGAGTCTCACTCTGCAGTTTAGGCTGGCCTAGAGCTCATTTTGTAGCCCAGGCTGGTCTCAAACTCCCAATGATCCTCCTGCCTCAGCCTCCCGAGTGCTGGGATTACAGGCGTGCGCCACCACACCCGGCCTTTTTTTGTCCTTTTTGGTTTTTGTCTTTTTGAGAAGGGCACTGTCATGATGCTTCTAGAGACCATTCACAATAATATTCTAGAAGTCAGGCTTGGTTTTGGAAAACATTTGTTACTAGTCTCCTATTTTCTAGAGTTTGACCACTTGGGAACTCTCTGGCTGGCAGTAACAAGAAACCAATTCCACCTAGGTTAATGTATAAAGACTGAGAGAATTAAGAACTGGGCCGGGGGTGTAATTCAGTGGTAGGTTACTTGCCTAGTAAGCACAAGGCCTTGGATTTAATCCCCAACACCAGGAAAACAAAACAAAATAAAATCCTCACAAAAATACCAAAAAATGTAAAAGCACCAAGAAAAAATGGAGACTAACCATTTTGGGCTAAATGTTATTGAGTGAATCATTTTAGTTACACACAGTTAAAGGCAAATATTTCTGTATCAAAATAATGTTGTTCTTCTAGACCAGATTTAATAACCTCTACCAAACTAACAAATAGTGAAGAAACATATACTTAACGGTAGTTATTTAAAAATCTTTACTCAGTATATTTTAAGTCAGCATATTGTTTCTAAAGAGACTTCTACTTGCATAACGCCCTACATTAAGACTATTCTATGAAAAGTTAACACTTGGTGTTCTAGGGTGGTGCCCTCATCCATCTACCTCTCATGTTGGCTTTTGGTACAACACAAGTCATTCTGAAAGCTTGCTCTTGAGGCACACAGTTTATTAACCCAATTTCTCCCCCCTTTCTTTTTAAAATATTGTTTAAAGAAGCTGTATTAGGAAAGGTTGTGTTTTTCTCTATATCTTCTCTGAGAAAACCCAGTGTATTGCTAACAGCACCACTGTGAAGGTACAACTGGTGAGAAGAGCTCTGGACAACCCTCCAGCAAGAGCATGCTTGGCCCAACTGTGCCTGCTTGATGCAGGCTCCTGAATGGGCACTGCAACCCCGCCTTCAGCTGCAGACGGACTCGCCCTACCTAGGCCTGGCAAGGACCTGGTCTCTTCCCTAGGATGATCTGAGTCCTCTGTGACGACAACACATCCACTCTGACCACAACTCACTCCGGGTTGCTCTGGAGGTGTGCACTTTGAGCAGAAGCACCTAAGTGTGCAGTACACAGGTCCAGCTACTAGAGCTGTGTGACCTTGAACAAGCTACTTCACCTCTGTGAGCAATGGTTGTTTTGTAGGAAAAATGTGATCACCACCAGTTTTGTGAGGCTGATGCAAAGATTTAAAATACAGAGGTCTGTCACAACACTTGGCTCACAACACTTGGCTCAGGGAAAGGCACTCAGTAAGTGGTAGTGATAAGGGAAACAAAGGTTATCATAAACATATTGCATACTTATCAGATTTAAGACGCCATCCATTATAAGATGCATTGTTTTCTTATGCAACACTAAGAAAGAAAAAAAGTGCTGCCAATTAAATCAACATAGCACCCCAATTCTGGAGATATTAAAAGGCATATCAGCCTGAGAAATGGGGAGTATTTTGAGAGGTAGTTTGTAACTCCCTGTGGAAAGTGAAGAGACTGCATCTCTGTGAGTGGTCGAGGTAGGAGAGAAGTGCCTCTCTTTCCTGACCCAGAAAGAAGCTGCCCCAGTACTCTGTGAGACTGCAAGGGAACAACAGAGAGCCAGACAAGAGGTGTCCTAGTGGCATATCCCAAGCAGGCAGAGGATGAAAACCCCCTACCCAAGAGGAAGCCTGTGGTTGTGCCTGAGTAAAATGCTACTCTTAGTCTGAAGTCAGCTCTACTTGAATCTTTACAAACATGATTCTATTTTTTTTTTTGAGACCGGGTCTCGCTATGCAGGTCAGGCTGGCCTTGAGCTCACACTGTAGCCGAGGCTGGTCTCAAACTTGCAAGGATCCTCCTGCCTCAGCCTCCCGAGTGCTGGGATTACAGGCGTGCGCCACCATGCCCGGCTCAAACATGGTTCTAATCCTGGATGGAAAGTAAGTTTTTCATGAAGCCACATTTATAAACTTGAAGCCGGCAAGCCCACAGAAGGCCCTCATCCCAAGTATCCTGACTTAATTAAAAATTTTTTTTTTCTGAGACAGGGTCTCAGCATGTTGTGCAGGCTAGCCTTGAATTCACTTATGTAGCCCAGGCTGGCCTTGAACTCAGGGTAATCCTCCTGCCCGAGCTTCCCGAGTGCTGAGTTAATTAATTTTTAAGACTGGAAGTTATCTCAGCATTTTATCTCAAAGACACATTCTGTCTCACAGAAGGAAGACATGCCAGAATGTCAGGATATGAACAGGTCCTAAAATCTATCACACTGAGAGAGGAACCAGGAAAGAGAGTTCATGCCACTTTCCTTACTTTCAGAGGGCTTGGAACAAGGGCTATAGATTCCTGAGTCCCCCATAGTACTCTCAGTACCATCCCCAACCATTCTATGACAAAGACGGCTTCTGTGTGCTGCACAGACTCAAGTGCTCACCTTGACACCCTCATTGTAGCTGTCCCCAGGGCTGCTGAGGCTGGCAAGGCTGCCTAGATGACCAGGGGCTCCAGGGCGTGGTGGTTTCTTTGGTGGAGCTGCAGGATCTGGTAAAGTAGAATGGTTTACATTATGAATGTTAACGAAGAGATGGCAAATGACTCCTAGACACCATGCACCAGCCAGCATTATTTCAACAGACTTTAGTCTACTAGTCTTCTGCTCTAAGGAGAAGTCTCTGATAAACTATGGCTGTAAATTCTGCTTTCTAGTACTCTAGTAATAGGTTACACATGGTAAACACCACACTTGCTATGGTCTGTGCAGGGAAGACTACTAAAATCATAAGGGCATTCCACAGCTATGACATTATATACACTTACAGCATGCTCCTGCCAAATTATACAAACTTCTCAACCCACAGCTCCTTTCTTCACTGACCTGGTTTACCCACAGGCTGGTAGATGTGTTGGTTTCCAGTCTGTGGGAAAAGAAAAGGTCAGTCAGTGTGCTGGTGTGTACAGTGGGCAATGACCACCCTCTTTCCTTCTTGTCTACTATCCTTTTGAACTCTGTACTTCTGGGTCTGAAGACGGGCAAGTCAGGGTGCTGCCTGAAGGACTCAGCTGGGCAGCGGATTAGGGAAGTTCCAAATAACGCCAAGAGGACACATGGAAAGGGCTGTGATACAAGCAAGCACAGGACGCTCTGGGACCACAGATAGAAAAGTCACACAGATTTTACCTTTAAAGGTCTAAAACCCCAGGCCTTCCCAGCGTCTGTACCTGCTGATCATCCTAGTGCTCAGGATGTTCTTACCCCTCTTCTCTCAGTACCTCTTGTCACAGCCTGGGTGCAGTCAGAACAATAATGACAAGAAGAGGAGCCTAGTAGCACTGCGATGTGTGGATGTTCCCTGGGCCCATAAGGACATCATCCCTGAAGTACTGTGTGCACCAGGGCCTAGTTGGAGAAGCCAGATCATACCCTTCCTAAAGGACTACAGGAAAAGATACCTCCATAGCCTGGCATAGTGGTGCATGCCTGTAGTCCCAGTACTCTGAGAGGCTGAGGAAAGAGGATTGCAAGTTTGAGCTCAGCCTGGGCAACTTAATGACTTAGATCACGCATCAAGGTGGGCATTGTCTCAAAATAAATAGAGCTGGGGATGTAGTGCAGTGTGAAGTTTAATCCTCAGTCCCGAAGTGGGATGGGGGAAGACGCCTACAGGTAACACTAGGTGTCCTTCAGGTTATGTGTGACACTGCATTTAAAATAATCTCAGTCTAACTAAGGGAAAAAGTTTTTATTTATTTATTTTTGTCTTTTTGAGACAGGACTTTGCTATGCAGTTCAGGCTGGCCTTGAGCTCACTTTGTAGCCCAGACTGGTCTCAAACTTGCAATAATCCTCCTGCTTCAGCCTCCCAAGTGCTGGGATTATAGGTGTGCACCATCATGCCTGGCTGATTTTGTTTTTTTGAGACAGGGTCTCGCTATGTAGTTTAAGCTAGCTTAACACTATGTAGTCTAGGCTGGCCTCAACACTGTAACCATTTTCCTGACTCAGGCTCCTGAGTGCTGAGATAACACGCATGCACCCTGCTTGGTATTTATTTTTGTACTGAATCCTCAGTTTGTGTGTGTGCATGTATGTAGGTATGTGCTCAGGATTATTGAACCCAGGGCCTTCTTGCTGAGCTACATCCCCAGGCCATCTTTACATTCTGAGACAGGGTTTTGCTAAGTCACTAGGTTATCCAGGCTGAAGGTGAAATGGCAACCCTCCTGCCTTAGCCTCCTATAGTGCTGGGACTGTGGATGTGTGCCACCATGCCCAGTCCATTCCTTGTTTAAAAATCATAGCAGACTGCTCACTATGCATTAGTCTTTCCAACATAAGAAGCTCAGCATGTGGAGACTTTAAATGGATGGTCACGTGACATTTTTGTTCATGAACTGTGAACTACCTGAACGTCTGACTTATGCAATGTGTAGAGACCACTGAGCCAGTGCATTCTGATGGGAGATGCCAAACCATCACAGGCTGGCAGCTGGGCAAGTATTTCAGGTGCCTGATCTCAGGGGCAGAGGGAATTTTATGGTGTGGTTAGGAAATATTCCTAGTAGGGTTGTTACATAGAATGCACTGTGGAGCCGCTTGGAAGATGGAATTGTGATTAAGGTTACTGCAGCATTCCACTCAAAGATTACCAGGGAAAGATCTACAAGATATTCAGCACGTTTGTCTCAAAGTTAGGTGCTACTTTGTATATCGTGCAAGGTGTTTAAAAGGCTTTAAGACCAATGCTGACAGCTGCACACAATTATGCATGTATATAAAAGTCAACTCAGTGATTCTTTTCCTACCCAGAACCCTTATACAGGTAAAATGTTATCCTAAGTCTGTTACCTAACAAGTGCAATGTGGGTCTACAGAAATCTGCATTAAAAAGCAAGGTGCGGTGGTGCACTGAGGAGGCTGAAGCGGAGCTGGGGCTGGAAGATCACTGTTCTGGGACAGCCTGGCCTACACAGTGGTTTCAAGGATAGCCTGAACTACAGACTGAGACCCTGTCTTGTGAGAAACCAAAAAAAGAAGAAATCTGTGCAGTTTAAACCACATATCTGAAGGTGAAAATCCTGACAAACAATCTAACATACTTTTCTTCAAACATTAGGAAATATTTCTAAGTAGCTTTAAATATATTTGGAACAATTATAAGCTAGCTCTTTTAGGACAATTTCAGGCATTCCCCCCACACACACACCTAGAAGAACAAAAATCTTACTTGAGCAAGTTTTTATGTGACTGTGGAAACTTTTATAACCATGCAATAAAAGTATACCAATTTAGCAAATGACAACTTACATGTAACAGTCAATTTGCTTAAATATTTCCTCGGGTCACAGAAAGTTTGGCTTACTACTAAAAAGCTTGTATCAGCAGTGGAGCACAAACTTCTGCATCTGCATTTGGATGTATTTTAATAACCTTACTTGAAATTTTACTTTAATCACTTTATTCATAGAATTGATTATTCTGTGCTGTATCACAAATATCAGTCAGCTTGGATACTTTACTTACAACAACGAGTCAATGGCCCACGCATGTGAGATCTAAAGTCACACTCTGGCAACAACTCAAGCAGGTGCTTACCGGACCCTGAAGACTCCCATCCTCCCTGTCGATGCTGCCTCGAGAGAGCCTCACATCAGGTTTCTTAAGAAATTAAGACAAAAACAGAAATAATTTCTATTTTACTTGAAGATTGCTGACAAATTCTGTTCAAAACTCCTTCCCTTTATAACACAACTGTTCTCTGCTGCAGCCTACAGAACCAGCCTCCTTCCACTCCCTAGTCTTCCTGCCTTTGCCCTTGGCTTTCTCCAGGACAAGCACTGTTTCATCCTATGGCATCTGTGCTCCAAGTCCTGCCTGTTTCTCAGGTCTGTATGAGGCAGCGTTCCTCACTGTGGCATTTAAGGCCCTGCATCTCCATCCACTATAAGGGCCATGCTCAGAGCAGCCTTCTGATGACTTAAAAGGAAATTTCCTTCTAGAACAGGGCCCCACACTGGCACCCAGTGAATGGTGAGGTCTACAAAAGGGTAGTACAAAGCAATGAGTGTAGGAGCTACGATAGCTCATCATAGGACTCTGGATAGAGAACAGTTGTTAAGCACCCTCTGGGCTGTTGTGTGGGAAAAGGTGAACACAGGGCATACTTTTACTTCACTTGTGGAAAAACTACTAACCAAAGGTGTCTTCAACAGGATGGACAGTGCTGAGAGCAGCATCAGAGTGAACGAAGACGGCAGGGGCACCTTGTGCTTATAATGTGTTCATTCAGCAGAACATGCCACCCCCATGCACCCCAGCCTATTTCTCCAGTGTGTATCCTGCCTGGCCAGCACAGGGAGCACATTTGATATACTGCCTAGTGAGGTAATTTCCAAGCTGTCAAAAAGATATTCTCTTTTATTGAAAAATTTCCACGGAAAATCAGGCAGGAAATGATCTAAATTTGTAATGCATGTTGAGAAAACAGACTCCTACAAAGTAGGACAGAAAAGAAAACTAGAAAAGTGCTGAGTAAGTACTTCTGAACTGTGAAGAGCATGACTTAAATAAAGCTCTAAAAGTAAAATGCTGTTCTGTACTCATATGTACTATAGTATCAGGGACTAGTATGGTTAACCCTCCAATGCCCAGTGTTCCATTTTCAGAATGCCCATAATAATGGAACATAATTAGATTTTCTTCTCTCTCTCTTTTTTTTTTTGTCTTTTTTTACGACAGGGTCTCACTATGCAGTTCAGGCTGGCCTTGAGCTCACACTGTAGCCCAGGCTGGTCCTGAACTCACAACGATCCTCCTGCCTCAGCCTCCCAAGTGCTGGGATTACAGGTGTGCACCACCACGCCTGGCTAGATTTTCTTCTCTTCAAATTCTTGTTCCTTGAATTTCTCTAGATAACATACATGAATTTCATGCAGAAATTTTAAAAAGTGCCATCTTTGGCATAAACAGGTTAAAAACCAGTTCTTATTACACATGTCAGAGATACACAAATACAGGATGATATAGAAAAAGCTATTTCAGAGCCATGCAGTTGTCTCACGGTGGCAGATTGGTGTGCTGCATCTTCTACCAGAAAGGAGTATGCCAGGAGACAGGCACAGCTGTGACCGGGAGGGAAACGCACTCCAGAGAAGAAAAGTCAGAGGCTGTTAGTCCCTGGCCTGAAAGGCAGACTCTTCTCTCTGGCAGGAGTACAGATAGCAACAGATAGATACTAAACCAATCAATGATCCCAGCCTGTGAGCAAGGGGCAATGGCTGGGGCTGCTTCCTTAGGTCCTGTTCCAGTGAATGCTGGAGCTGCACCTCTACTGAATGGAGAGAGCGAGCCCTCAACACCAGGGCACAGGAAAAAAAAAACCTCAAACAAAAGGCATTTGAAAAAATGTGCCTGAGAGGACTTTGTTTTGACAGATCACACAGTATTACTCAACATAAACATCAAGGTCAAGAAAGGCAAATAAACTGCTCAGCCTTATTAGGCAGATTGGAGAGACATTCAACTGTACACACTCATGGTCAGGGCTTGGTTCTGGAAAGGTATGTGAACAGCAGCTGAGACACGCATAGGCTGGCAGTCCAACTAGCAGGACCACATCACTTAATTTCCTTCTACTGGCACCTGGACTGTGGCTATGTAGGATGACAGCCGCATCTTTAGGAAATCACATCAAAGTATTTAGGAGTAAAGAGGATGATATCTGGTATTTATTTCTAACTGGTTCAGAAAAGAACAAGATGCATAAACATGCAGAGCCAATGGTAAAGCAAATGTGGCTAACTGTTAAAATTGGGGAGTTTGGGTGAAACGAATGTTGGAATTCTTTGCACTATTCTTGTATCTTTTCAAAGTGTGAAACTAAGCCTTTTGCCTTTGTCCATCTACTTGGGAGACAGCTTAAAAACTGGGTGTCCTTTTAAGCCCTGATGTAGGATTCTGGGCAAAGAGAGGATGTCTTAGTTATTTTCTGTTGCTATAGAGAACTCCTGAGACTTATAAAGCACAAACGTTATTAGGTTCATGGTTCCAGAGGCTGACAAGTCCAAGAAAATGGCACCAGCATTTGCTTGGCTTCTGGTGCTGCTTCAACTCATGGTGGAAAACAGGAGGGCAGGTGGGTGCATGCTAAAAAGAGGGCCTAACTCACTTGATAGCTCTAACCCACTCCTTGGAGAGAAAGGTGCTAATCCACCAGTGAGGATTCTTCTCCATGACAAGAATGCTTCCCATTAGGCCCCTAAACCCTCCTCACTGTTGCACTGAAGAATTACGCTTTTAACACATCAACTTTCTGTGGACACACGCAAACCCTAGCTATGGAGGGCTGGGCTTGACACTACTGTAGAAAAATGAAACACCCAGGCATCTCAGGTCACAATGGGTCATTTCACAGTCATGTAATTTAGGAAGTATTTTTTTTTAAAGCCTCTTTTCAGGGACATATGTGAAAATGTCCTAGATGGTAAGCAGCAACAAATCAGCCTCCCCAAGATTCAGAATACAGACACTGGAAAATAGTAACTTAGGGAAGGAAAGAAGAGAGGTGGATCCCTGGGACACATGAAGGACCTGAAGGGAAAACTGGAGCCTAGAGAGAAACTAAAGAGAGATCACAACACAGAAAAAGGGGCAAGCAGCACGTTCTCTCCAGCTCCTGGTGTGAGAAAGGAAGATCAATCTACAGACACAGTGAAAGCAGCAACTCCAGAGGCTTCCAGGGAGAAACACAGTGGAACAGAGCAGTGGACAGTGTGAGCTACAACAGCTGATTGTCTGGGGGACATAAACAACACTACAGTCAAGTAACACAAAACTGGGTGCTAGGTTTAACAGGCTGCAAACTCTCATCCCTAATGAACAGAAGAGGAGCATCCTAGGACAGACTCAAAGGCCAACAGCCAGCTATACCTAGAAGACATCTCTGAAAAGTAGTCATCTTCACACTAGTAATAAAGCTACCTACCATAAGCAATTTACAGGGATCAACACAGAAAACAAACAAACAAAGGAAAATGAAAAACATGAAGGCAAGATGCACCCCCAGACCTCCAGCACACTCAAGGCAAATCCAGGGGGCATTGAAGTGGGAGAAGTAAAAAACCATCCAACTGAACTTTCTGAAATGGTAGCAGTGGAAGTAACAAAGCAGATGAATAATCTCTAGAAAAAGAAAAAAACCAAAAACAACCATAAAACAAAAACCACAGAAATAAGTACCAGGATAATTGAAGAGATAATGACCATAATGAAGGACATCATTAGTGAATCTAGAGTACAGAAAAAAAATAGAGGAGATCAGTAAAGTGATAGAAACAATGAATGCCCAACATAGGAAAGACACAGATTCCATAAAAGAGATTCTAACAGATATCCAGGAGATCAAAAATTGTATTAAAAGTACATGCAGCAGCATCAACCAACGTGAAGACAGAATATTAGATATAGAAGAAACAGTTTCAGCTAGTGATCATCAAATGAAACAGTCCTTAAAAATAGCAAGGGACTATGAAAAATCAATCCAACAGCTACTAGATGATACAAAGAAGAATAACATAAGATTAACTGGAATCAATGAAAAAATCAAGACAGGACAAAGGACATATTAAAAAAAAAAAAAAAAAACTGTTTAGAAAAGTAATAGCAGAAAACTTCCCAAACATGGAAGAAGAATTTGACATAGAGTAAGTGAGGCATGTAGAACTCCAATTAGCTATGATCACAAAAAAAACTACACCAAGGCATATAATACTCAAGAGTCCAGAAATTCAACACAAGAACATAATATTAAAAGCTCTTAGAGAAAAGAAACAAATCGCCTATAAAGGAAAACCCATGAGGATAACAACTGACTTTTCAACATAAATCCTTAAGTCGAGGAAAACACAGAATGAAGTATTTCAAGCCTTAAAAGAAAACAACCTCCAACCCAGACTGATGTATCCCTCAAAATTATCATTCAAAACTGATGGAGAAACAAAATACTCCCATGATAAAGAACACCTGAAGAAACTCATGACCACCAAACCAGCAAACTTCAAAAAGTTCTGAAGGATATTCTAGAAAAACACAACAAAGACAATTCCAAGAATCCCAACAGAATGAACCCACCAGGCAAGACAAGCAATTAAATAGAAGGTAAAGAAGGGGATCCAACAACAGCAAAATGATATGGTAACAAGGACAACTCAGTACCGATCAGTTATAACTATCAACGTGAATGGCTTTAATTTACCAATCAAAAGAAACAGATTTGCAGAATGGATCAAGAAACAAGACCCAACAATATGCTGCATACAAGAAACATATTTAACTCAAAAAAGAAACTCACTGACTAAAAGCCAAAGGATGGAAAACAATACTTCACACAACAGGAACAGAGAAAAAAGCAGGGGTAGAAAAAATGGATTTCAAGCAAAGACTGCAAAAGAGACAAAGGAAAGTCACTACATTCTTGTTAAGGGAACAATCCAAGAGGAAGAGATATCATAAATATATATGCACTAAATACTGGCACACCCAATTATATAAAACAAACATTAACGGTATGAAAAATCAGATAATATAATTATAATAGGGGACCTCAATATTCTACTGTCACAAACAGACAGATCAACCACATCAAAAAATCAACAAAGAAATATCAAAGCTGAACCAAACCTTTGAGCAAAGGGACTTAGTAGATATCTACATAGTACTATAACCCACAACAACACAATAAACATTTTTCTCAGCAGCACATGGGACATTTTTCATAGGTACAAACCAACTCATAGTCTCTTCTCAAGTAAATGCAAAGGAATTAAAATTATCCCATGCATATTAACATATCATAGTGCAATGTATTGGAAATAAATGGCAAAAGAAACCACAAAAACTACATAAAGAGCTAGAAATTAAATAAATAGCACCCTCCTGAACAACTAATGGGTCACAGAAAAAATTAAAGATGACACTATAGACTGTTTCCACAATTAAATGATAATGCCAATACAACATACTGGCACTTATGGGATGCAATGAAAGCAGGCCCACAATGGAAATTTATAGCAGCGAATTCTCACATCAGAAAAATAAATAACCTAATGCTGAACCTCAAGGTTCCAAAAAAAGAAGAGCAAATTAAACCCAAAGCGCATATAAGGAAGGAAATTATAAAAATAAGAGCAGAAATTAAAGCAATTGAGACTAAGAGAACATTATGAATAATCAACGAATCAAAGAGATAGGTCTTTGAAAGAGGAAATGAAATAGACAAAACCCTTAGCCAACCTTATCAAAAGAAGGAAAGAAAAGACCCATATCTATGCAATTAGGAATAAAAGGGGAAATCACAACAGATCCTAGAGAAATCCAGAGGATTATCAGTACCTACTTTGAGAGCCTGTAGTGTAATAAGATAGAAAACTCAGAAGAAACAGACAAATTCCTAGGTACACATGAATTACCAAAGCTGAATCCAGAAGATACAAAAACTCTAAATAATCTAATATCAGTTAGTGAAAGTGAAGAAGTTATAAAAAAAATTAACAACAAAAAAAAGGAAGGAGTATCTCCAAACTCATTCCT